TATTTTCCAGCCTATTTCTGGTCTTCTTTCACAAATGTGTTTTGATGAAACCTTAAGTCTTGTCAGTAAACACTAGTGCTGTGTTCAAAATATCGATACGACGATGTATCGTCACAGAGATTTGACGATACGAGTATCGATAAAGCTGGCCCTGTATCGATACTGTGGCACGTGTGCAGCAGTAGACCACGCTTAATTTTACAACGTTTAAAATTTTGTAGAAAAGTGCGAGGTTTCTAAAAAAGAATGAATAGAGCATCTGTTAATAATCTGGCCGCAGAGGAACACAACGTGCATGTTCGGCTAGAGTCGCTTTGAACTCGTGCATCTTCGGAAGCGGAGCTGCGCGGAAAGTTACAAAAAATGTTGTGCACACCGCCACGCGAAACGACGTCGCTCGCACTCAAAGCGAACTTGCTGACGCTCGAGTGTAAATCAGCCATAAATCAGCCTTGAGCGTGTGTGCGTTAGATACAGTGAAGACAGCGCGTTAGTTTAACTCTTCTAATTTTTTTTTTTTATTGTAGAGAGTGTGTTAATTTGTGCAATGATAACCTACCAGCAATGTAATTTATTTTTTAAACATATTAGAATGAGTACATTACAACATAAATTTATTAGAACAAGTACATTATTATTTATGGGCTTAAAAACAAGATGCAAACAATCTGAATATTGTACCTGGTGGGGAGTTCACAATGTAAACATGAAACATATGCCATTACCTATATTGTACTGTGGTACAGTTATGGAGGCCCTTCATAATGCAGAGGTCAACTGCCTGCTCTACCAATAGTTAGAAATGGCACTATAGTAAGCAGTGTTTAATAAACAGCTGTTTTTCTAAATTCTGCTGAGGTGAAAATCAGTGCAGTCATGTATCATGATACGTATCGTATCGTGACTTTGCTGGTGATACACAGCCCTAGTAAACACAAGATAAATAAAGTAGGTGTGGATGTGTTCACTGTAAAAAGAAATTAGTTGAACTTACTTGGAAAACCTGTGGAAACTGATTGCCTCAAATTTCTCAAGCAAGTAGGTTTATCATTTTTGAGTTAATAAAACTTACTGTAACTTTGTATAGGTAACTTGTGTAAATGTATAGGCTACCAGAAAACCTATTGTTAGCATAACAATAGGGCATTTATTTGTTTAAAACAATGTTACTTCAAGTCATTATTTTTTAGGCATGCTATCAAATCAACAATTTAACACTGTAAGAAAAACTGCACATACTGCACTCAGGAAATAAATAGAAAAAAAAAACATCAACATCCATTTTATGACACCTTGTAAATCTAGATTTACCATTTTCTAAATCAATAATGATCAATCATGAACAATTACACTGAAAAATGCTCCATCACGCCACAATGACATCTTTCTACATCAGAAGATTTTTCAGAGATTGCATTCTAGGTTCAGCCATTGAAAGAAATCAAAGGTGTCCTTCAGTACTGGAGGATACTATAATTTCATAGCATAAATCCAAGTCCAAAGAGCAGGCATATCAGACTCCTTGTTACCTAATTTCTATTTTCTTTCATCACATTATTTTTCTTACTCTTATTTAAAAAGGGTTCACCCAAAAATGAAAATTCATTAATTACTCTCTCATGTCGTTTCAAACCAGTAAGACCTTCATTCATCTTCGAAACACAAATTAAGATATTTTTGATGAAATCTGAGAATGACAGAATTTAAATTTTTGAGTGAACTAACCCTTTAAGTATTTTTTTCTCTTCTTTCCAACGCTGTTCTTTTATTATACATTCCCTTTCCTTTTTTCCTTGGAAGTTTTTTTTTCTTCACTTTTTTTATTCCTTTCTATCTTATATTGTTTCTGTGTCCTGATTTTTTTCTTGCCAGGTCTCAAGAATTGTCTGCATTACACTAAATAACCAGAAAATAACAGACAAAATTACTTACAAAACATGTCTTGTAAAATCAGTTAGGTCCTTTTCAAGGAAGCGTGGAAGGCCGTGGAGAACTGCTGTTCATCGCCTACTAATGTCAGATGTCTGTACAATTATTAAAAAAACTCATATTTAATATCACTCAAAGCACAAGCATTCAGCATAACATACAGTGGTGTGAAAAGTGTTGGCCCCCATCCTGATTTCTTATTTTTTTTGCACGTTTGTCACACTTTAATGTTTCAGATCATCAAACAAATTTAAATATTACACAAAGATAATGCAAGTAAATACAAAATGCAGTTTTTAAATGATGATTTCATTTATTAAGGGAAAAAAGCTGTCCAAACCTACGTGGCCCTATGTGAAAAATGAATTGCCCCCTCCTGTTAAAT